TATAGCCCTTTTCCTCACACCAGAAATAAAAGGCTAAGACCCTGATTGGCCTAGATTACCCAATCAGTGAAAGGGTTATTTTTAGAAAACAGTTTATCCCTATGAGTACCCAGGGCCCCCACCCCCCAAGACTGGGTAACCTGCTCAGGTTTCCTCCCACCTTGTAGCTTGTTCTGCTGCAAGGTAGCTTTTTCCCGCCTTTGCCACTGTAAATAAACTTTTGCTTCATATCACTTTCAATTGTGACTTCCTCATTCTCCACCAGACCCTGACTTTCCCATTTTCCTTTGGTGCCTTTGGCTCTGAGTCTCACCCCACTTCTTCATTCTTCACTGGAGTGAGGGTAAGGACCAGGAAAAGCAGAGGTTCATCTCACTGGAGACCACTACCTCCCCAGACCCCCAGTGGACTCTACACCACCCCACCCCCATCTGATGCCTCGGCCCGCCAGTCCCTGTACTGTAGCTGGGAGGACTTGGGAACTGAGCACCCTACCTCCAGTCCCTGGGTTCACCACAGCACAGGGCAACAGAGCTGACAACCAACTGACCAACCTTATTGAAGAGACCAACACCCAGGAGGAGCCTTTCACTTCAGGACTAAAGTGATACTCTTCCACAGAGCCTGCATAAGAGACACCTTAGGAGATAGGCTTAGAGAGGGCGATAGCTAAATACATCTCTCCTAGGATCTCCTGGGAGACCTCGGCTCGGACCAGGAAGATCACAGGGTCTATGTTCTGTTGTAGGAGGCCAGGTTCAGTGGGAGTAATCATCGGAGGGGGCAGTCTTAAGAAGGCATTTAACCTAGTGGTATGTTTGAACTCTGGCACTGCTTCCAACATTCAGCAGAAATCAGTGGTTTCAATTACTATAGGTAAATATAAGGGGGCCTAATTATATTCACTAAAATCAGAGTCCTCTGTTTTGGTAAAGGGCTGTGCATGAGGGATTCCTATCGTTTGCCACTGGTGTCACTGAATTTACTACCATAGACAAAGCAACATAGTAATGGCTAGTAGCTGGTTTTCTCTCTATGCCAATGCCTGGATTGCCTGAGAGTGGGAGTTGGTCATAAACAATACTTTGGCTTGGTCCAAAGTACAGGCCAAAGAATTTGCAAATCCCAGCACAAAAAATAACAACCACCACCAAAGAAAACCAGAAACATGAAAATAAAAGGCAACAAAATGCCTCCAAAAACACACTAAATCCCCCAAAATTGGTATGGGGGAAATGAGGGGGAGGAAATCATATGCTACACAGTAGATAGGTCTGAAAAGGTACCAACAAAGGTAAACAGTTCTATAAGGTGACTGGTGAATTTAAAGAAGATATAACCACATAATAACCACAATGAAATAAATGACTGGCAAGTCTAGAGAAGACACTAATAAACAGCTACTGGTTTTAAAGAGACAAAAAATGAATGCCCAGCATAGAAAAAAAAGGGAGTCCATAGAAAGTTCTATACAGAAATCTAGGAGATTAAAAACATGATTGCAAGTAAGGGTAGTAAAAGCAACCAATATGAATACAGAGTGCCAGACCTGTAAGACAGGGTCAGGATCAATTAATGAGAGATACCTTAAAAACAACAAGGGAACATGAAAAATGGATCCAACAGCTCCTAGATTACTCAGGTCTAATATAAGAATTGGAATTAGTAAAAAATCTGAAGCTATCACAAAAGGCATTTTAAAAACCTGTTTGTTTATATAAGTAATAGCAGAAAACTTTCCAGACGTGGAAGAACTTCACAAATAAGTAAACCATTAAAAAAAAACCAACCAGGGCTGGGGATTTAGCTCAGTGGTTTCGCTGCCTGCTGCACAAGTGCAAGGACCAGAGTTTGATCCCCGGTACCAAAAAAAAAACCAACCCACACCACATAATAATGAAAATACCGGAATACAACACAAGAACAGAATCTTAAAGGCTTCCAGAGAAAAACAATGAATCACCTATAAGGAGAACCTATCAGAATTACAAGAGATTTGTCAACACAAACTTTAAAGGCAAGACGAGTATTGAATAAAGTATTTTAAGATCTTAAAGAAAACAACTTCCATATCAGATTGTTATATCCTGCAAAATTATCTTTCAAAATTGATTGAGAGATAAGACACTTCCATGATAAAGAAAACCTAAAGAAATTTATGACCACCAAATCAACACTCCAAAAACTTCTCAAGGATATCCTAGAAAGAGACAATGAAGCTAACAATGCCAAAATATCCAATAAGATGCATACATTAGGCAGGGATAGTAATTAAGCAGAAGGAAAAGAGGAAAACAGCAACAGGAAATTAATATAATGACAGGAGTAAGTCAATACCTATCAATTATAACTATCAATGTAAATAGACTTAAATCACCAATCAAAAGACACAGATTAGCAGAATGGATCAAGAAATAAAATGTAACAGTATGTATATACAAGAAACACATTTAACACAAAAAGAAATTCACAGACTAAAAATCAAATGGAAAACAATATTCCATGCAACCAGAATCCAAAAACAAGCAGGAGTAGCTTTCCTATTTTTAGAAAAAGTGGATTTCAGGCCAAAGCTGATTAAAAAAGGCAAAGAAGGACATCACATATTGGTAAACAGAACTATTCAACAGGAAGAGACAACAATACCATTGTGTATCCAATTTCATAAAACAAACTCTATTGGACATAAAAGATCAGATAAACACCAATAAAATTATAGTGTGGGATCTCAATACCTCACCATCACAAACGGACAGATCAACTAAACAAAAAAAAAGTCAACAGAGAACTATTAAGAGTTGAACCTGGACCAGGGATTTAACTCAGTGGTTCTGCCGCCTGCCTTGCAAGCACAAGGTCCTGAGTTCCATCTCTAGTACCAAAAAAAACCAAACAAAAAAAACAACAACAAAAAAGAGTTGAACCAAACCTTCGAATAAATGGACTTAATGGATATATACAGCAAAAGACTCAAAATTTTACATGCATAGTATCAGATCACAATGCAATGAAAGTAGAAATCAATAGCAAAAGAAACCACAAAAGCTATGCAAACATATAGAAATTAAACAACACACTCAAACAATCATTGCCTCATAGAGGAAATTAAGGAAGAAATAAGAGTTACTAGAATTAAATGATAATGCCAGTACAACATACCAGAATTTATGGACACAAGGAAAGCAGTCCTATGAGGAAAGTTTATGCCAAAATCAGAAAAATAAGACAAGTCCAAGTTAATATCTTAATGATTCACCTCAAGATCTTGGAAAAAAAGAGCAATCCAAACTTAGAGCTTGTACAGAAAGGAAATTATAAAGACTAGGGTAGAAATTAATGAAACAGAGCCAAAAAGCAATACAAAGAATCAATGAATTGGAGAGCTGGTACTATGAAAGAATAAAATAAACTCTTAGCCAATCTTACCAACCCCCCTCAAAAGGAAAGACACAAATTTATGCAACTAAAAATGAAAAACGTGAAATAACAATGGACACTGCTGAAATCCAGAAAATTATTAGCAACTATCTATAATAGTATCTCGGTTCACAAACTTAATTCGTTCCATGATGCTAGGGAAGACAGCCACATTTATGTTCGTGCAGCGAAAGTGGCTGCAATCATATTCATCACCTGATACAGAGTTCACGAACAGAAGCAAATTTTGCCAAATGCTTCTGTTTGTGAACCAAAGTATTCTGAAACAGAAGCATTTGTGAATTGAGGGTATTACTGTACTTCACAAACATATATGCCAACCAATTGGAGAACTCAGAAGAAATGGAGAGATTCCTCCATACATATGAATTGGCAAAACTGAACCAAGCAGACTTAAAAAGCTTAAACAATCCAGTAACAGGCAATAAAGTTGAAGCAGTAATAAACTACTAAGAAAAGCACAGGACTTGTGGATTCACAGCCAAATTCTATAGGAATTTCAGGGAAGATCTAACACCAATACTCCTCAAACTTTTTAATGAAATTGAGAGAGGAGTACTTCCAAAATCATTCTCAGAAGTTATCATTATCTGGATCCCAAAACCAGACAAGAATCCAACCAAAAAGAGAATTACTAGCCAATTTCCCCAATGAGCGTAGATGTAAAATTCTTAATAAGATACTGGCAAACAGAATGCAAAAAATTCAGCAGTATAGCAAGGTACAAAATAAACACACAGAAATCAATAGCATTTCTTTTTTTTTTTTTTTTTGGTACCAGGGATATCAATATAAAATACTTCTGAATAAGAAAAAAGGAACAATTTACAACTTGGATGAATCTCAGAAGCATACTGCTAAATTGAAGCCAGACAAAGATTAGATGTTGCTCAATTCCATTTATATGAAAAGTCAAAAATATACAGAGCAGTAGTAACAGTGACTGCAGCTGGCAAGAGAGGATAAAGGGTATGAAGGAACTGTTTGAAGAAGTTATTGTTCATTTTGATGTTGATTACATGACTAGATTCATCAAAATTTAAACTATGTTTGAAATGGGTAAATTTTACTATGTTTATGTTGCTAAAACTACTTTTTCCAGTTTCGAAACAAGCCACTTTTATATCCTGAATTTAATTTCCGTGTGCTTATTCTGAGTTTTACTCAAGTTGCTGTCAGGCAAATTTAACCAAGCCTTTCTCAGTTATATTCTAGGAGTTTTTATTCAAAGTTCTTCAAGAAAAATACCAGGATTATGGTGCTTGGGATCAACTATTCAGGTGAATATATTCATGTAATTAGTTGCAAATATGCTGCTATCACTTTGGTGAGAATGTGGAATTAGAGATATTTTAGGAGTCATCTGCAGAAAATGGTAGAAACCAGAGTTGATAACACTGTATTCTTTTCTCACCCATCTCTTACCTCTTACTAATCAAAAGAACCACAGAAAATGCTTAGCCAGATTTTTAAAGGGTCAGCTTTTCCACCAGATAAGTAATAATACCACTGAGCATATTTTCAGTATACCATTTTTCTACCTCTAAACTCAAATATCTCACCTGGTTTAATTTTTCAGTGTGATTCAGCTTTGAAGTCTTTCCTGTACTGAATATGGAAGTTGTCTCCACGTTCATTATTTGCTTTGGTGGTACCATGTTTGAAGTCGGTTGTGAAAAATATGACTTTGCAACTGGACAGCCTGTAGAATATGACCCTCGTTGTTTTATTCTAAATGGCTGGGTAAAAATTTCACCTTTTGTGAATAACAAAAGAAGAAAAATTGTCACTACTAATATCTAGCTTATTTTTTGGTGGTTACACTCAGATACTGCTGAGAATTAAGTGCCCTCAACTCATAATTAAAAATAAAGGAAGGGTATATTTTTATATTAAGTCAATAAAACTTACATACGATAGAAGTGATTGGTTATTCATAGAAGAAAACCACATGACATAAGCGTTTTACCAAAAAGGTTTGGGCTATCTAAAAACCACCTAATGTCACCTGAATATAATTACAGAAAAGCAGGATTTCATAGGTAAAAACCTAAAAAACTGTATCTCATTTAGGACACCAAGGTCTCCAGCTAGGGAAAGTGATTAGAACTATGCTTATCAAACTGGATAATCACATAGTAGTAGAGAAATGGAAAGGTAAAACTAAAGAATAAAAGATATTATCCTACCTACAGTTTTAAGTTTTTGTCTTCAATATCTGTGGGAGGGAGGAATATCACTGGGTAAGTGTATTCTGTTTCCAATGAAGCTGGGGATTTAGCTCAGTGGCACTGTGCCTGCCTGGCAAGTACAAGGTCCCGAGTTCAATCCCGGGTACAACACACATACAAAAAAAAACAATGAAAGATGTAACACTGGAAATCACTATGGCCTAGCTCTTTCTTTATCCCAAGATTAAGAAATAAACCAATTAATTCCAAGAGATCTTGGAAAAATGGGCCATGGATGAATATGAGCGACAATTACAGGGAAAAAATATCCACCCCTACTATTCAATAAGTTGGCAAACATCTTTACACAACTCCACCTCTTGTAAGCTTAATAGTATGATTTAGTTTCCCTAAATCTGAATACCTCACAAACATTGAGAAGGTTGAAAGACAGAGCTGAAACATCCAGTAGCCTCCAGAGCTTTCTCTGACCACATCACATCTTTGTGTCCTCGTCAAACTACACTATCCACTACAATTTAAAAATTGCTTTGTAAAAATGTGACACATTCTCATGATTCACCTTAATTTAAACGTGGACTTTGAAGAAAAACAAAAATCCCTGAAATAGGCATAAAATGCCCTTCTGCTCAGTGTATAAACTCTATACTGTCGAGAATTACAAATAACCACTAGTCCTGGGCCTTTAGCTACCACTTATTATGAGCTTACTAAATGCCAGGCTCTTTATGGGCTCCTTACATTTAATGTAAGATCCTCAGCACAACTCCAGTACATCTCTATTTTAGAGATGAGGAAACTAATGCTTAGAGTAATTTGTCTGAGATCACTCAGCTTGCACGTGGTAGAGCCAGGTTTCAACTTCGACACACACACAGAGCTCAGTCATTACCTACCTCTATATGTAATGACTTCTTCAATATTTGCTCATCCACAATACAATTATTAATGCCAACATGCTTACCTGCTGGCCACGCTCTATGCTTTTCCTCTGATATACTCTTCTTCAGCATCAATAAAAAACCTGCTCTGGTCTGCTCTACAGAAATAACATCTGAAGCTGCATTCAGCACTTCAAACATAGAGATGAATCCATATTGCATATACTGAAACGATCGTCCAAATCGCTTGGCAAATGCTTTTTCAAAATCAGAAAGGAGAACAGGAGACAATGCCAAGAGGTCTTTTAACTCACTCTTCACAACTGCAGGAAGAATAGGGGGCACCCTTCCTCGGTAAGGCACTCGACGAGAACTTGTCCCAGAGCAAACACTGGCCCTTCCCTTCTGCGTGGAGTTTTGCACCTTATGGCTACTCCTCTGCTTTGCGACTAAACTTGCTATTCCTTTGGTGGATTCATCTGGAATGGCTAAATAGATGTGGGGGGAAAAAATCACATTTAGATGAAAAACTTACTCCCTTTATCTTTTGTACCCATGTTTACAACAGACAATTCTTAACTCTTTAAAGAGCTGTTTATCTAGGTTGAATGGTAAACAGAAAGCCTTTGGTTCCTCTATATCTTGCATTCTGGGGAACAACCTGCTAGCTTCTCTACTGGAAAATGAAAGAACCCAATGGTTGATATCATTGATATTTACTGCAGCTCCAGAAAGACTCGAAATTCTTGGGATGAGAAACTTCCCTACAATGATTTACACACGCTGCCTATATGCATGTACATTTTATGGAATCTGAAACAAGTTTTTGTCGTTTAAAACTATTGCTAAGATTCTCCAACTTACGGTGCAATAACCTGAAATCATGAAAATTCAGTTCTTGTGAATACAGTATTTTTTTGTTTTGTTTTTTTCTGTGGTGCTAACAGCCTACAACATCAAAGACTCTGATTCCACCTCCCCCCAAATTAAAATTCGCTGCCTGGGATGCAGGATAACTGCAGAGTTAAAAGAATTCTTTACTAAGTGATTATCTTTAATTATAGTTTAAAGGCCTTCAAAAATCTTAAACCTACCTTTCAGTATTACACTACCATCCCCACAGGGGCAGACACTAACCACATCAGGCATGTCCAACACCAGCTCCATGGTGGACCGGTACCCGAGGATTCGGAGTGGTAGACGGTTGCCAACCATCAAAAGGTACTCCTTTTCCAACTGGTGTGGGGTCAAACCATCTTTAGTGGAAATAAGAAGTGACCTTATTTCTTTCCTCAGACAGTCCTGTATACGCTCTTGTTCTGACATTGTACCCTACAGAATTTAAAACAGAACGTTGCTAATGAGGAAAAGCAGCCAAACACGTGAAATTAAAACGAGCAGTAATAAATATAAATAACTAAAATGAGTTTTAAAATTGATAAAGCAGAAGCAATACTGTGAAGGTGTTCTAGGATTTATGCATCCCTAAGCCCCCACACTGTTCAAAACCCCAATCTCAACCTGTGTTGATGAACCTACGTGGGTCTCAAGAAATCACTGCTCCTGACTAGTTGGGAACTCCAGCTGGCCTCTTTTTATTAGTTCGGAGAAGAATTAACTCGGTCTCTTCCGGGCTGTTAACACCCACTGCAAACTTTATCAAGTGGAATCTTTCAGGACTCTGGGAACCACAGCCCCACTAAAGATTCTCCTGCCAGTATTTTTTCTCTATTCAGAACCTACAGGAAAGCTCTAGCCTCTTCTTACCTCGAGTTAACAACCTCCTTCGCCTCCTGCCCACACTGCCCGGGTAGGGGCCTTCCCAGCCCCCAGGTCCCTCAACTCCCCACTGGGGAGTTGTCCTTCCCCCTACCCCAAGGCTTTCCGTAAGCTGGGGCGAAAAAGAAGGCGGGAGGCCGGTAGGTGTAGCTCCCCGCTAAGGCCTGAGACTGCGACGACTGCCCGAAGAGCCTTCACAGACCTCGCCTAGCCGTTGCAGGCCGAGAGTCAGCCGCGAATCCTGGCCGCCGCAGAGCCGCACCCGCAGCGAGGGCGAGCGCGCATGCGCACCGGTGCGGGAGGCAGCTGTCTGCCCGCCCGCGGCAGGTTGACCCCGGGCGCACGTGGCTGACGGCCCGTTGGGCAGGACCCGCCGCTCTAGGTTAGGTCTGCGGCCTTCCCTGCTTGGCACGGACGGCGCGAGGGAATGCCGCGCCTATCTCCTCCCCCCGCCCGACGCAGCTTGAAGTAAAGCTGGGCGTAGGCTCCTGGGCCTCTCCAACCACCTGGGTGGGCGAGGGCTCGGCCCCGAGGCGAGCAGGGGGAGGGCAAGGAGGGCTTGAAACGCCGCAGCAGCACCTGTGCAGGTGTATAAGGGGAAACATGCCCCGGGACAATGAGCGGAGATTCTCAATCAGGCGGCTGTTTATTTGGAAAAAATTATAGGTATTTCTGATTTTGATTGAGAATCACTGCTGAGCTAGATATTACTCTGGCTCGTGGAACAGAGGAGGGGGTGGAACCTGGCGGGCTTTTTGAATGGGTGAACGATTCAGGTTCACTGGAAATAATATAATTGTGAAACTAAAGAGAATATTTGTTGGATTGGTGGAATAAGATCTTTGAAAAATAGGAATAGTTTTAAGAGTTAGGAATTGAGGGTAGTGTAAAGACTTTTACCTTGTAATGTACAATCCAATTAAAGAAACATGGCAGGGCTAGGGATTTAGCTCAGTGGTGCCTCGAAAGCGCAAGGTCCTGAGTTCGATCCCGGTACCAAAACAAATAAAAACCAAAAAACAGGGCAGACAGGAGAGAAGGGCCTCATGCCCCCAAGAAGTAATGTTTTTCTTTGTTCATTGGCTCCCCCAAATACCTTATAACAACCACATCTCATCTGGGAGACATTTCCCATGACTGCAGGACCATCCCAGATAACTGTATTCCACAGCCTCTTCAGTCATCTTCGGGTTGGGTATGGGGGCTTCATGGCTTCCCCCTTCCCCACCTTCAACCCTCCCCTCCCTATAACTAAGAAAGGCTAACACTGCATGCTGGAGCCAATTGCCACAGAAGCAACCTCTCATTCTCTTAGGAGGTGAGTTCATGTACAGTTGTTCCTTATGCTGCAGCATTAGTCTTGATATCTTTGTTTTGGATAACATGTTTATCTATTTGTGGTTTATAACTTGAATAGAACAGGCTGAGCTTGAACTTAACAGCTGAGAACATCAAAGACCACTGGTGCTGAAAGTGGCTAGCAGCCAGGGGTTGGAAACACTGAGGGCAGCTAGCAGCCAGAGAAGGAAGGAGACTGATGGAAAATTACTGGGAGTTAACATCTTCGGTCTCCAGAAGAGTTCCTGAGGGCTGCTGGTTCCACCTGTCAGGAGAATAGTGGAGGGCCACTCTCTCAGAGTTGATGCTGGCATTCAGGGCTGTTAATACTAAAGAAAGCTATTCTGCCTATTTGTAGTTTCTATCTGAACCGAGGAAGAGAAGCCTCAGCTGATTGGTGTCAAAACCAAAGGCTAACCAAGAAATTTCAATCAAGAAAAGACACCTGAGGACAAACGTGGTACATGCCTGTAATCCCAGAACTCTGTGCTGAGTTTGATCCCCGGTACCAAAAAAAAAAAAAAAAATCCCAGCACTCTGTGAAGCTGAAGCAGGATTGTAAGTTTGAGCCCAAGCTGGACAACTTACCGAGACCTCTCTCAAAAAGTAAAAGGGGCCTAGAGATGGACTTCAATGTAAAGACTCTGGGTTCAACACCAATCCATGCCAAAAAAAAAAAAAAGCCCCAGGGAACCAAATATTCTATCGATGACCTACTACAAGTGAGGAGTCCCTGAAAGAGGAAATAGACAAGATTTAAAGCCAGTTTATAGTAGAATGGGCAGGGGCACGTAGAAAATTAACAAACAGGAAAACAAAAAGATGCATAGATGGATCCAGTATTGCAACATTTGAATGACAAAAGCTATAGAAACAACAGAAAGAATGTTGGTGAGGGCTGGGGAAGATAAAAATGTCCCAGAGTTTAACAAAAATATAAGTCCAGATTTTAAGAACTCACTGAGCCCTTAGAATAATGAATTTAAAAAATAACCTTTTTTTTTTTTGGTACCGGGGATCGAACTGGGGTCCTTCCACTTGCGAGGCAGGCGGCAGACCACTGAGCTAAATCCCTGACTCATAACCTTATTTTAGAAAAAGCCTAGAAGAAAGGAATCAAGAAATTTTTGTGTAGAAATGGGTCACCTATGAAGCAGGAAAATTATGTTGCCATTGGATTTCTCAGTGAAGCATTATCTTGAAAGCTAAACCTGGAACTCTTTATCCAGGCAAATTAGCGTTAAGATTGGGGGAAAGTAAAAAAAATTTCAGACATGCAAGGATTCAGAAAGTTTGTCGCGGCACTGAATGACTTGAGAATGATTCCTGCAAAATGAATAATAAATAAAAATAAATCATTCTGGATTATCTTCCCCAACTATCTGCACTGAGAGATAACAGATATCCAAGCACGTACTATCTACTCTTGCATAGATTACCTAATTTTCTTCCCAGTAACTGAGAAAGTGCAATTATGAGCCCTATTTTACATATACAGAAATGAGTAAGGATGTAAGAGCGATAGGCAATAAAAACAAAATTTATGACTAAGTCAAAAATTTCTTGGTGTATAATGTAAAACAAAGAGATTTTTAAAAAGATACTTTGAAACTAAATCCCAGATCAATAACTGCAAACCAAGTGTCAGGGACTGTTGGAAGTTGCTTCATTAAAGAGAACCAAACCCCATTTGGAAGAGTAGCTATAATTAGAGTCATGGCCTGATTGGGTTTACAGAGAAGTTAATGAGAATGAGGTGGTATCTTTCTCTCTTCTCGTGTTGACATCTCTGCAGTTCTTCAGGGATGAGGGATTGCCTTCAGTATGCTGTTCTGGCACCCCACTTGATGCTTCCTATCACAATATTGTTTCTTCCACCACTGAGCGTTCCAGTGTAGGAATTCTGTCAGTTGCCAAGATTATTTATTTAAGATTATTTATTTCCAACTATTCATTTGACAAGTAGGGTCCATAACCGTGCATGAGCACACAGTCCCACTACTGCTCCCTGAAGGTGAACTTGAATTAGAATTCACTTATCTCTTCTAACACAAGCTCAAAATATTGAAGCAACAGTGACATTTTAGGTCCCAAAAATTAGAATTAGTAAATGGTGGTCAATCAAAAGTGTGGGTATTTTTTTGGTCCTGGATAGTTATCCATTAAGGATTGCAAAGCCTTTGAGGAAAGTCTGAGATGACAGGTTCAGCATTTCTGCAGCATCCTTCCTCAAGACTATTTGGGCTATGCTCAGCTGTAGGTCTGGAATCTGATTTAATGCTGAGAATAGGATAACAAGTCTAGAGTCTCTAACTCATAAGATGCCTCCATTCCCCAGACCTAGATTTGTATTTTCTTGGTTGGTTTGTTGTTGATACTCAGAAAGACTTAATGGTTTGTTTGTTTAGTTCATTCCTCAGGATCCTATAATTAATTAGCTGCAACCAGAAAACAGACAAGTGTGCCTCTCACGCCAGTCTATTATGATAACCAATGCCCCCTTTTCTTCTGGTAATTAACTGCCTCCACCTGATCTCCTCCCAGCTTGCTTACGCTGGGAGTATATTTCAATTGCAGCTGCTCCTATCAGCATTCTTGCCTTTCCTAAGTCAGTAAAGAGTTATCTGTGTATCTGTGTCTATGTGTCCAGTTTCTGCAGCTTGAATTTGTACCTTATGAACAAGGATGAGAGACTCTTGAAAAACATTTGGAGTAAGATTTTGACGCACCTGATAAAGTCAATACAAAATTCCTGCCTCCCATGTGTTTGAACATTATGCCAATTTAGGGGCCACTTGATGCCATTACTTACATCCATTTTCCAGATCAAGTATTCCAAGCCTTTGCTCTTCTGCTGAACTTGTTCACTCCTCCCCTCCCACTAGAAAATGACTTTATTCCAGTCCTCATTGAAAATGGAGGCTCTCATACATGAATCCCCTCAACTTCTAGCCTAAGCTTCTAAATTAGTCCCCTCACATCTTTTCTTCTGCTCTCTTTGGGTAAGGGAGTCATCCATCCTGTTTTCGATTCTATCCTTCAACACCTCTAGGACCATGAACCATGTCTTTGGGCTAATTATTACACAATCCTGTATGGTCAACATCTCTTTATAGATTCCTTTCCTATAATATGTATTATGCTTTGATTCTTTTTAACTTACACACACATGGACACAGAGCGAGAGAGAAACAAACACTTCCTTTACCTTCATGATACTCTAGCCTCTCCTTCATGGCCAAATCCTTAGTCTATACTCAATTGTTTTCCACTGCAGATCCACAGTTGATGTGAAGTTCACTTATGCAACACTCAAATTTATTATTACAAGAAATATCAGAATTATATTTGTTGATGAAAGAAAAGATACATTCTTTAATTTCAATTGTAAATTTTTAAGTGATTGTAAAAATGGTTTTTAAAACTTGAGATTAAAAAAACTTGAGATTGTGTGAACATATTTCTCATTGATGGTAACAAATGTAAGCAGCTTAATAAAAATTTCATGTAGCCATTTCAAACAAAATCTGTACTTAACAAGATTCTATTTTAAATTTGGAAAGTAGGCTTTTAAAACCATAGTTATATATCAAAAATAAAATGAAGGATGTAGCTCAGTGGTAGAGCGAGATCCTGAGTTCAATTACCAGTGCCATACACACACACGCGCACACACACACGTGTATAATTTTCTCACCAAGCCCTATGTAGATGGCCTTAAGTCCCCTGTTTGCCCCTGTAGGGGATTACAATAGTATCATTTTTTATATTTACCATAATTGGAAAAGATGGGAAACACTGCTGTAGGATCTCATTATCTCCCTTCCATACACATGTAACACTGAAATGGGTAAGAGACAAAATGCAGTAATCCATTGATGGAAACATTCTAAACTGAAGAATACTGGAACTACAGCTACTCAAAATCACTTTTCCATATGCTCTTCTCTGTCTTGAGGACCCTGCAGCTTCGCTCAGGATCTGGTGAGAGAGTCAGGATCTTGGCTACAGAAATAACATCTGTCCTGAGTGTCAAACCTAATGTTATGGCTTTTATCTAGATGTCCCTCCACAGCCTCATGTGGATAGGTGGGGCTTTTTGGAGGTAGCTGAATCTAGAATTTTGATACTGGCATTGATTCATGGTGCCATTCTAGGATTAAGGTCCCCCCTGCCCTGGGTGTGAGTGCTACCCAGTAGCCTGGATAGGATATAAGGGACAGAAAGACTACCATTGCTTTTCACCTTTTGCTTGCTGCTGCTTCGCTATTTGTTTGCTGCTTTCTACTCTCCATGAACTGCTTCTTCTCTGCACTGCTTCTCTGCCATGCCGCCCTACTTTGGAGCCAGCCACCTATGAACTGAAACCTCTACAAACTATGAGCCAAAATAAACCTTTCCTCCTTTAACTTAGGGTGTTGGGTATTTTGTCTCAGCAGTGAGAAAAAAGTAAGACATCTATTTCATGATCTACTGAATATTTCCAGAAGATATTCTAAAGATGCTGCTAGCTAGCTCTACATCTTTAATTGAACTCACTGCACCCATCAACTGTTAAACAGTCCCCTTCCTTCATTGTATTCCCTTAGTCCGATGTCAGCCACATTCACTAGTCACTTTGACCACAGTCCTTTTCCTCTAAACATGACCCATATCCTTTCTCACCTGGATCACTTAGAAGAGTCTCCTCTGGAATACCTGCCTCTGTGGGAACAGGGAAGGGGGACGTTACTAGAACCTTTGCAGTGAGTCCTAGTCTCCTGCGAGCCACAGCAGCACAAGGCGAATTAACTTATTATGCAGGAAAGGTAGAAAAATGAGACTTGGAGAAGAAGCTGAGCTTTGGGCCTGATCAGTGCTCTGGGCAGCAAAGACAAAAGACCTCGAGCTTGCGGCACCTTTTATTCAGTACCTCGGGAGAAACAAATGTAACAAATGAAATGCAGAGAGTTCAGTACCTCACATTGGGATAAACAAGGTGTAACAAAAGACTGGGGGGACCCGGGAAATCCAAGAACAATGAGGAACCATGCTGATGAAGATTCGGTTCCTCCCAGGATGTCTCCCGCTGGTGTAATCTTGTCCTGGAGAATCACAGCATCACTGGATCATTGAGGTATCAGTTGTGACCAGAGGCCAAAATGGACTTATGTCTCAGAATGCCATAGCTGGGCTGTAGGCGGGAGAACTAGGCCTAACCAAATGATTTTTCCCTAAAATTATGTAGCATTGCTCCTGACATGCCTCCATCCTTTTCCCATTTCAATTCACCTTCTGCATGGTTCATAATGCAACTCAACTAAATTGCAAATGTGATCATGTTATCCTTTGCTTAAAATCCTTCAATGCCTTCTTTTGCCTATAAGATAATTCCAAATTCTTTTATATGCTGTAGAAGGCTTTTGTATTTCTTGGTCTACCTATCACTGGTTTCCCCATTTGCCAGTTTGTCAAGCCACTGATTAACTTGGCATGTATGAAATGTTCTTTTTTTTCACTGCTCCTTCTGGCTGAAAGGCCCAGCTCTCAATGTCCTGAGAGTTACCCCCTCATCTCTTAATATGTCCCAAACTAGAATGCCTCTAATTCCATCCAGGTGGAATAACTTCCTCCTTCATGTCTTCACAGCACTATATTGTAGCCAGCCCACCCAGGTGGTCTTCACAGCTGGTCTCAAGTCCCTCCAGCCCCAGGTACCACCTGTGGGGAGCGAGCCCAAGCCTCTGAGCTTTTCCCACCCAGGTGCCACTTGTGGGGGACCTAAACCCACTATGTTCTCCTTGACCCTGGGGGAAGTGAGGATGAATGACAGAGAGACACAGAATCAGTTTAACATGCGGGCAGACAGAGGGCTCTTGCCTACTAGTAGGCAAAGGAGGGTGCCCCCCCATCTGGCTCATCTTGCCTTTATTCACCCAAACACAAGTACAAGCGATGAAAGTAACACAAGATTCATCTGCTTTCCAATATCCATTAGTACATACTCAGGTAAACAGCTTAACCTCAAGTGTCTTAACCTTTCCCTAGAACCTACAATATGCAATCATACCCCGCCCCCCTCAGTGCAGCCTTTCTGCTTTGTGCTCACAAAGGAGGCCAATTAGGCTTCAGTTCTCTGGCCTCCCACATTAGATGAGTGGTTTTCAGCCAGGGGCAATTTTGACCCTACAGGACAATTGGCTATGTCTGGAGACAGTTTTGGTGGTCATTAATCTTGTAGTGAGGTGCTATAGGCATCTACTAGGTAGCATCCATGGATGCTGCTAAAGATCCTACAATGAATGTATAGGAAAGCCTACCTGTCCCACATAACTACCCCCACACCAAAGAACCATCTGGTCCAAAATGTCCATAGTGCACAGGTTGAGAAATTATGATAGAGATCCTGTCACAGCATGATCACACCTATTTACATATGTCTCTCCCTAGTAGACTCTTAAATTCTTTGAGGGCATACAGCATGTCCTGCCTCTACAGTTTTAGAAATAAGCATTGCCCCTGTGGAGTGAATATTTCTATGTGAGAAAAGTAAGTTGTATCTTACCAAGTTGTATCTTGCCATGTTATCTGACAAGCCAACACCTCCATCTCCAGGAAAAGTGTGTGGGAACATAAGTTGCTTGGGGTTGGTGTAGTTAGAGAAGTGGGTCTGGCAGAGAAGCTGCAGTTATGCCCAACTGGTTAGCCTACTAAGGTCTAAGTCTCCATCTTTCTCAAGTCCTCTATCTCCTCATGGCCCTCATTCTATAATTCCCTGATATCACTAGACTCTGTTGATTTTTCTCCCTCGGAAATAGTTTCTGAATCCAGGTCACTCCTACTGCCAAATCCTTGGATCAGATTCTCACCACCATCACTTTCTTAGACCACTGCTTTGCATCTGTAGTTGATCTCTCTGCCATCTATAAATCAAGAAAGTAAAATTTAAATCCTTATAGTTTCCAGTTCTAAAATGACAAGATCTGCAACTTCATCTAGTGCCAACAGTCTACTTTATCCATTAAATAATCCATATAAATCAGCATTCATTCCTTCATTTACCTACCTGAGAATAAGTATACTGATTTAGAAAATATTGCAGTCTTTCAAGACCTTTTATCTTGGAAAAGAACTCAAAAGTCTATTTTAATTGGTCCTCACCTTTCTTCTAGTAGCCTCATGACGCACAGAAGGCAGTCTGTTAACAAACCACATAAGGAGTAGGGTATTGAGTTTTAAAATGTGCATCATCAATGGGATAAGCAGTGCTTTCATTTAAAAAGGAATCTAAAAGAAAACAGCAGCAATATTAGCAGAGTAAATGAGGCCCGCCAGAAGGCCTCATCTGCTGACTCAGCACTCTCTCCCCAACGCCTCCACCTTCCAGAGTTGCTGTGTTAGCCTTTTTACCATGGTATGTGATGCATTTTCTCAGATATTGTTATCATCATGCATTGTCTCAATCAGACTGTGTTGTAAGCATGTGCTTATACTGCTTTATGTATGGATATAGAAAATGAAGTAAGGATTCTATAACTTGTCAATGGTAAAAAGCAACAAAGAGACTGTGAGCAAGGGTCCAGCATGGGCTGCAACACCCAGTAAGGCCTGTTCACATTGGTTTTTCTCTTACAAGAAATTTCTTTACTTTAGTGGGAAACAGTACAGTTGAAAAATATAATTTGGTCAGATATCCTGCTCATTCTTGGAGTAAAAAGGTGCAATTTTGGCATAAGTCTTTAGCTAGCATTGTAGATCAAATTAACTTGCGACTGAATCAAAATGAGGAAAAAATGATACAAAGTTTCACTGGGCATGTAACTCAGTAGTACAGTATAGCACTTGCTTAGCTAGCATATGTGAGGCCCTGGGCTTGAGCCCCAGCGCGTGCATGTGTGTGCGTGGGTGTGTGCGTACACATGCACACAAAGTTTCATGCTTTTCCTAATAGTGAAATTTCTAGAGGGTTATGAAGAAACTATATTTAATAACAAATGTTAGCCAGGCATGGTTGGCCTATGCCTATAATCCCAGCACTTTGGGAAGCTGAGGCAGGAGGATGGCAAGTGGCAAGTTCAAGCCCAGCCCGGGCAACTTAACGACTTAGTGAAACCTGGTCTCAAAATTTTTAAAAAAGTGTTGGAAATGTAGCTCAGTGGGAAGGCCTTGGGTTGAATACCCAACATCTCAAAAACCTTTAAAAAAGTAAGAAACTCAATAATTGCATTCCTTTTCTCCCTTTGTGGGTCAAATCCAGCTACAGAATTTTTCTCAATGAAGAGGAGTAGGCAGGAACTGTTAATTAAGACAGGCACTTGAGCGGAAACATTTGCCTTCCCTTATGTAGTCCACATAATAATCAGGTCCAGAGAGTTAAAGATAGATAGATAGATAGATAGATAGATAGATAGATAGATAGATAGATAGATATTTGCAGTGCCAGTGACCACACCCAGGGGTGCATCCCCAGCTCTTATTTATTTATTTTGGTACCGGGGATTGAACTCAGATCCTTGTGCTTTCAAAGCAGGCAGCAGAACCACTGAGCTAAATCCCCAGCCCTCTTCTTAATTTTTAAGATAAGTCTTCACTAAGTTGCTAAATTGTCCAGGTTGGGCTTGAACTTGCCACTTGCATCCTCCTGCCTCAGCCCAGAAAAAGAGAAAAGTCTAAAATACTTTATTACTAAACAACTACTTTATTCTCAAATGGAACATATGGAAGAAAGTAAGTGGAATTGGTTTTTGAGACCCATTTGAGTTACCTCAGGTCCTCATTAATCAAGTTTTTGAGAAAGAGAAAACTTCGAGTGAAAATATTGAATAGCAAAAAAAAGTGAACATTATTTCTCCCAACATGAAATCAAAACTATTTGAGTAGAATCATAAATCTTGCTTGAAATGTTATCTAGACCAACCTTCCATTCACCAAAAAAATAAATTATTAATGCAGTAAAAGAGAAATCAATCTAGTAGATGTTTCAAGTTCCTCCGGAGCTGGGGAAGCAGCCTGTCCAGTGGACCCTGAAAAAGTAAAACTCCAGCCTTCAAGGAAGCATGGAAACGGGACGTAGGACCGGACAACAGTGATGCTTTCTTAAAAAGCGAATTTAAACAGATCCTAACTTTTTATGATTCTTCGAGAAGAATTATCAACAGCATTAAACATTAATAAAAATAATAAAGGGGCCGGGGATTTAGCTCAGTGGTTCCGTCACCTGCCTCGCAAGCTCCAGGTCCCTAGTTCGATCGCCAGTACCAAAAAAATAGAGAAGAGATCTCAAAGATTTTTCTTTCTCCTCTTTTAAAATGTAAAAGCTCCGGGTAGAGCCAGCCAACACCATATTGATTAAAGAAAAGGCAGGGCCAGGATATCAATTTAAAAAAATAAGTGGGGGCATCCTTGAGGAGACCCCCCAGGAGGAAAAGGACGGCTACAGGAGTAACCTCTAATTTCTAAGTCCCTTTGGTATTTTTCCAAGCTCTTTAGCATTACGCTAGGACCACAAGCCCTAATTCATACCATTTTTACAAAGCAGAGCGCCATCACCCCTTCAGCACTTTGTGGGTCTCCGTTGTATTTCATGTAACGACATCTTTAGGGCTCTGAGCTTCACCTGCAGGAACACTCAGAAACTCCGCGCTGCCCTCCGGCCAGACGGCCACTAAGTCAGCGTCTTCCAGTCGCGGGTGGGGTAGGGGCGTCACGGAGCCCGCCACGGCCTGGGCCCGCCCCTCTCCCCTCGCCTCCCGCCCCGCCCGACCGCCTTTAGGGACTCGGTGCTCCCCGCCCCACCAGTCCGCAGACGGCTCCTCGGGGATCGCGCTCTTTCCCAGGGCTGCAGCCCCGCCGCCCCGAGGATGGAGAGGAAGGCGCGGAGCCCCTCCAGGGAGCGCCACCGGCGAAGCGGCCAGTCCTCCCCGGGGGAGAGCAGGAGGGCAAAGGCCGAGAGGAGCAGCGGAGGCCGCGGGACCCGGGATGTTGGGCTGGAGCAGCCGCCTGGACCCTCAGCAAGGCCCGCGGAGCCACGAGCACCCGCTGCCACCGTGGTGGACGTGGACGAGGTCCGGGGCTCCGGGGAGGAGGGCACCGAGGTGGTGGCGCTGCTGGAGAGTGAGCGCCCAGAGGAAGGTAAGAAGAAGCCGCCTTTCCAAATGGTACCCAAAAGCTGTTGGATACAGTGGACAGCATTGCCCAGCTGAGGCGAAACTAGAGCAGACCGCTGGAGGCTCTGACTCCTGGGAGATGAAAGGCACGAATTAGGAACCCAGCCTCTGACAAGAAATGGAGACCAAAGTGCATCAGAAGAAATACAAATAGTAATCTCAACTAAATACCGCTGATCTCAGAGGCCAGCCATGGTGGGAGGGAGTGCAGTGCTGGTTGGGGACCGATGAAAGTGCAAAGAACCACGAAGTTGGTTTTTGTGGGGCATATGGACACCTAATAGAAGTAAGCACACCCGTGACCTGGTGTCTCTGGGCCATGGTGTGGCTTATTCTTCCTCTTCTCCATCCACCAGTCTTACCTAAAAGCATTTTAAACTTTCTTTGGGATGATCATTCTTTCTAAAAAGCAGAGAGAACAGAGTCAAGCAGAGAAGAGCCTGAGCCGATTTTAAAGTCCAGCTTACTGTCTGCTAGCCTGTGATCATAGAAGGACTTCGCTAGGGATCAAATTACCACCATACTTGCCTCAGAGGGTCGTGTGGGACTAAAATGAGTGTCCCAGAGCACTTTGTGCAAAGCCTGCAGCAAAGAACAGGCTCAATTCTTGCAAGCTTAAAGAGGGACATCAGATCAAAGGAGGGAATGCAGAAAAAGATGTCCCTTTCTTAGGTGAAGCAAATCTTAGGAACAAATTTATTTACCGTGTCCTTTTTATCATGATTGAAAGAAAAAACAAAACTCATTACACCTTAAGAAGTAGAATGGTGGGGCCGGAGATTTAGCTCAGTGTGGCCGCACCTTCCTCACAAGCACAAGGACCTGAGTTTGATCGCAGGTACTGGGGGAAAGAAAAAAGTAGAATTGTGGGTGTTTAAAACAAATAAGGGCCGAGGATTTAGCTCAGTGGTTGCGCCGCCTGCTGCACAAGCTCGAGGACCCGAGTTCGATCCCCGGTACAAAAAAACCCCCCAAAACCCAAATAAGGAATAGCATGTTATATTACCTTCTGCTGACCATGAAATTTTAACATTTCCTGGTTACCAGAAATGTTATATATGCTGGATCATTGAAAGCTACAATTTAAGGAATATTCTGGCAGCTGGGATGTAATCTAAATGGATCACTTTAATACTGTTTTGCCTAACTGATAAACCCCTACTCATTTAAGGGTTGCTGGGTTTCACCTGAAGTCATGCTGAGGTTAGAGAACTTGTAACTGCTGTGTGGCAGTGGGGTATGCAAGGAAGGGAGCCTCCATTTAGGGAGCCCCATCTGTATGCCAAGTACACACTGGGTGTTTCACTGGGATATTTAGTTCCTATCGTACCCTTGTCACTGATCTGGAAACATCCTCTGAGATATTAAGTACCTTGCCCAAGACCTATCTTTGGGAAGCGGAAAGGCCAGAATTCCAGAATAAGACTATCAGACGGAAGGACCCACCCTTACATGGTCTCAGCACTGCTGCCAACTATCTGTGGTCTTGGGCAAGTAGCTTCCCCTTTGTGGGCTTGTCTCTCCAGTTGCAAAGTGGATAGAGCAGGAGCCCGTGAGCAGTGGGTGGGAAGTCCCACTGAGGATGAGGCAGCCCTTGTAGAGCCCTTGCCTAACGGTATCTGGCTCCCAAGGGCACACCATTCTCTTCCCCTTCTCATCCAGCAGCACGGTCCACAGGGCAGGCTACTCAGGACTTGGGAGAACTGCAAGGAGCGCCACCAGAATGTTGGGGTTCTGAGGCTATGTCTAAAGGCTCTTCTTTCTTTCACATTTAATGCTTCACTATTTGCTTAATCAAACAAACTGGATATTCAAGCAACTCATCTCAAGACAATGATATTTTATGGATAAACCTTTGAGCTAGGTCTGAGTACAGAAATTAGTTTTCTATTCACATCCCTAATTCTGTACAAAGGAACTCTTGAGGCCTTTATTCATTTATAAAATGTAAGGCATTAATTTACTAATTAATATTTGTATTTATAAAGTAATTAAAATGGCAATAATACTATTAGTCATTATCATTGAATAATAACATAAAGTTTAACAATTGGGTTGATAAAACAACATTTCTAAAAGTAGGTTCCATGAAAAATAAGTTCCACAGAATGTAAATGAGTGTTCCTTGGAGAAAACAAACCTGATCAAAGGTTTGGGAAACAGCTCAGAATGCTTTTACTGCAGGGATTCTTACAGCCTCCTATCCTCATGAGCACTGGAATGCCAGGGTTGGGAAACATTGCCCAGTATTTTCTGAACTCCTTTGCCCAAGGAATTCTTCCCTTGTGGAGCATTCTCTGGGATTAGAATTCTGTGGGACAGCCTTTGGGAACTGCCCCTATTATGACCTTTAGTGCTTTTTTGGGTTTTGTGCTGGTGCAGCTTGTATACCACATCTGTCCTCTTCAAGTGACTTGTGCATCAACTTGGTGATGACCTCTCTAGACAAATTCAAATTTTAAAAACAAAAAATTTTGTCAGGAGTGGTGTTGCATGACTGTAGTCCCAGCTGCTTGGGTAGTAAGGTACCAGGATTGCAGATTTGAGGCCGGCATGGGCAAGTTAGCAGTTTATTGAGACCCTATGTCAAAATAATTCTTTTAAAGGGCTGAGGATATAGCTCAGTGGCAGAGTGGTTGCCTCACATGTGTGAAGTCATGGATTCCATCCCCAGACACACTCTCAATACATTGGCCTGGCTGGCCCCAAACTCCTGGCTTCAAGGGATCTGCCTGTCTCAGCTTCCTAGTACCTGGGACTATAGGTGCATGCTACTATACCTGGCTTTGGAAGTCAAGTTTTCAGGCCTCCCAATTAGTTATCCTTTTTTTTTTCTCATCCTTTAAAAATAGTCTTTTTACCAACTCCTAAATTTTAGTTATCTTTTAATTCTCTATGAGATTTTATATACTAATAAATAGTATCCCTTTGGCCAGTTTTCTAGTATCTAGAGATTAAAATTCTTGAAATTTACATAATCCTTCCAATTCAACATTTATTGAACACCCATACTGTGTCAGGCACTATTCTAGGGCCTGGGCACTAATGTAAAAAGATAAGCCCCCAAGAGTTTGTGTTCCTGAGGATGACTTTCTTGATGCCATTTCATTTATCACCCAAACATCCTTAATGTTCTGCCTCCAGTTCCTCATCACTTTTTTTATAGACACTAATAGTCTTAACATTATGCCACATAAATGATTTTCAAAGACTGGAGATCAACACCTTAACCAAAGGAAGGAACTCTAATAGTGAAATTTCAAACAGTACGGCAGCTAGTGAATCAATAATTTATTTCATGGAAGATAAATTTCTGGACACTTTAGATAGTAAAACCTGACACATGTAGAGCAAAGTTCCACATTCTTATGTGTATGTATCACTTCTCATTAGAGATACAAGGTATATCTCATGAGCTAGTTAGCATCCCCACTGTAGAAATGAGGAGACAGGTTTGAAGAGATCCTGTGTCCTGTGAAGGGCAGCTCTGGATGTGAAATGATGGGGCCAGAACTGGCACCCACTAGTGTTCTGGTCTAGTATCCCACTCCCTTTGCAGGAGCCTGCACCACCCTCTGAAGGCCCACCCAGCCCTTCACACAGACAATACCCCTGGCCCCCTGAGCTCTTACTACTCTGATGTCTGGCTCATTCTAATATGTCTAGCAAGGTCTCCAAGCTGCTCTGACTCAAATACCAAGGACTGAAAAGTGCCAGTCAGTTAATATGGTGAGCTTCCAATATAATTCTTCATTTTTCTTTTTAGGTACCAAGTCCTCCGGCTTAGGAGCCTGTGAGTGGCTTCTTGTCCTTGCCTCCCTGCTCTTCATCATTGTGACTTTCCCTTTTTCCATCTGGTTCTGCATAAAGGTGAGTTTCCATGAGGACGAATAGGTAACTTCCTGGTGCCTCACTGACCACATCAGGATGCTGTGTTTGGTACCCAATTGTCACATCATGTGGAATGCCCTGGTGGCCACTCACCCTCGAGGTGAGCTCTCACTCTTCCAAGACTTGGCTAAAAAGTAACTGTGAAGTAGCCTTCCTTGACTCCTCCATATTGTCGTTCCTTCCTTGTTCTCCTGGGTCACTCTGCTTTCACTTCATTTGTTTTTTTTTTAATTAGTACATGTTTGCAGTACAGACATTCCTCCATTAAATGGTCACTAAATGAGGAATTGTGCATTGTATGTACATTATAATATTCAGAACAAAGAAATGGTCAAAGGAAACTCCAACTTGATGACTTTGCTTTTACTTGCATAGCTCTTACATGTAGTACTATATAATACATAAAAGAACATAAAACTACACTACTGTACTGCACAGTACAATCAGCAGAAATCATAGTACTGTATTGCTGAGCTATGATGTTCAGTAGATTAGATATATTAAATACATTTTCAACTTACAGTGGACTTATCTTGTTGTCGTAAGTTGAGGAACATCTGTATTTGGCTAGTTATTATTCAGTGGAGTGTTTTAAATGGAGTGAGGATGGGGAGAAAACTGACTTACTTATACTCACAAACCACTCCTTTATTGATTCAGTAAATATTTACTGAATATTTACTACATATTAAGATTCTTTTAGGCCCTGGGAAAAGATTGATTGTATACCATTAAAGCATTCACAGTTTTGTGGAGTGTATATATAAACAAATAGATCAACTAAGTTAATGATAAGCAATAGAACTCAGATTTTGATACTGGCCCAGAAAGTGAAGTTTATTTTTTTAAAGAATATGCAGTAACTTTCCCATTCTACTAATAGACTACTCTACTCAAAGAATTTCCTTTTTGCCACTTAAAAGTATCTCTATATATTTTCAGGGCATCTTCAACTTTTCAAGATCCATAAGAACCAACAAATTAAAATCAGTTGGGTCATTTTGAAGCAGACTTTGAAGAAATTACAATTTGAAACAAAATATCACGAGTGGTACTAAAACATACATCCTCTTTCAGTTAAATAGTTAGTAAGTAATATGTAAGCTAATAATGTAGAAGTCACTGAAAAATACAAGATTAAACATGTTCTGATAAGATCTGACTTAAGGAATATTGGACATAGGAAAAATATTATTGTTTAGATAGTCATGAGTCTTCAATCAAAATTCTCTCCTTAGGATCAGAAATTAACATAGCTAGTAATATGTTCTTCAGTTTATTTCTGAAATTCTATACTTAACTAAATATAAATTTTATAGATTTTTAGAACATTAAATATTAATAGGAATGTGTTCTTAGTTCTCAAAACAAAAAATTTCTGATACCTAGCATCACTTTCATACCAAGGCCTTTTGAAGATTTTATTTTTCTTTCTAGGAGTAATTTGAAAGTTTTACATTTCCCTTTAGGTTGTACAAGAGTATGAGAGAGTAATTATATTTCGACTGGGACATCTGCTTCCTGGAAGAGCCAAAGGTCCTGGTAAGAAGCACCTCTCTTTAAAAAAACAAACTATCCCTACCCCCAAACTTAGCAATTTCTTCAGTCTGTGCAGCTTTATAACATGGACCTTAGATTATAGGAAATAACTTGATTTGTGATATTTGCATTTCCAATCTGTTAGTTTTTTTTGTTTTGTTTTGTTTTTTGGTACCGGAGATCGAATTCGGGACCTTGTGCTTGCTAGTCAGGCGGCGGAACCACTGAGCTAAATCCCCGGCCTACCAATCTGTTAGTTATAATGCAAGTTTTTAAGAAATTCTTCAGATAGCATTACTGCCAGGTCCCAGGTGGCCAAGAGAAAGGATGAGTGTAGACCCCCACACCAGGGCCAGACTAATTGGAATAGGAAGTCAGCTGGGAACCCGTGGATGAGACTGGTTTGAGTACAACATATGTATGATCAGTGTCCTGTGAATTCTGAGAAAAGCTGAGCTAGTTCAGAAATGAGGGGTCAGATCAAATCATGAAAGACAGGCAAAGTTCAGCATCCAAGTAATAAACTGGTGGAATTTAATAGACATATACTGAATACTTCCTGTGTTCTAGAGACTGTGCTAACTAAGAGGGACACAAAAGTGGATGAGTAAGACCTAGTCTTTGACCTCAGAGTCCTTGAAACCTAGTAGAAGTGATGTTCAGGGATCCAGGCTGATTATGGGCCATAGACAGAAGTATGATTGGTCTGAAAAGTAGTAATTGGGGTTTGGAGATAGAAGGCAGTCAGAAAAGTCTGAGAAAGAGCCAAGTTCTACTGTACATATATTGGAGAGAGTCTGTGTTCTCAGCAAGGCCTGCAGAAACAAGTAGAAAACAGAGACCAATGTAGGATACACAAATCAGACTTTGAAGATTCAGAATCCAAGAGATGGGCCCATATAAAAGTAGAACTAGACTCTGAAGTTCCAAGACATGGACCATCTTGCTGTTGCCCTGGTATTCTGGAGCCCTCTCCACTGGGGGCCCAGAAGGCCTAGTAGCTGGGCTGCTCCCTAGATAGATCCTAGGTTCTGTGAGATTCTGCTGGTTCCAACAAAGCTATGGCTCTTGAAGGAGCCCACAGCACCCCAAGGGACATTGGGTTCTCATAAATCTATCTACAGATGCTTAGCATACATTGACCCTGTACATATTATTGGGTAGGTGAGGACTACTTGGCCAACCAGAAGGCTGGTATCATGATATTGCTATTCTGATTACCTCTGGGGCTCACATTTTAAGAAATAATGCATGGAGGTTGCTGGCTCTAAAGTTTGACACGTAAGTACATTCATAGATTAAGAGCAATTTTACAGAGCACCTACAAGGCGCTAAGTCAGATGCTGAGGATAACAATAATACATATGACAGTCTACACAGGGAACTCCATTCAATGTAGAGACAGACATGTAATTGAAATCTGGAGGGGTCAACACCATGACTAAAGTGACTATAAAGCCGAGTTTGATGGGAATACTTTCTTTTTATGCTTCTTATCCTGGAGTAAGTTTTAAGAGAGCTCCCTTTTTACCCTCAAAAGGGTCCCAATTTGAATAATGGATTATATGGTAACCTTAGCTACACCCCCCACAAAGAAATATTCCCCCCAAATCACTGTAAGGGCAGAGGTGAGATTTCTCAATGATCTCAATGTTACTAGAGTCTAAGGGAAGCAATCCAGTGGGTAATTGGACCCGAAAACATGAACCCCAAACCATGCCCATGTTTGCTATTCACCTATCTACTTCCCGTACCCCCTTTTCTAGGTCTGTTCTTCTTTTTGCCCTGCCTGGATACTTACTACAAGGTTGACCTTCGTCTCCAAACCTTGGAGGTACCCTTTCATGAGGTAAGTCAAATGCTAGCTTTGGCTTTCTCTGCTCATTTTCCATGGTCGAGCTACCAATTCTAGCCCAGGGCAAATGACTATGCTCAAAACTAGGCAATATGGACTACACAGAGTTAACTTTTGTAATCAGTAGGGTGAAAGGCAACCTATACAATGGGAGAAAATATTTGCAAATCATATATCTTGCAAGAGTTTAAATTGAGGATATATATAAAGAACATTCTCTCTCCTCCCCCCCCGCCCCGTTTCTCTAGAGAACCTTGGCTCATACTGATTTAAATTGACATTTCTCCAAAGAACACATACAAAGATGTAGATATACAAATGACCACAAACATAGGGAAATAAGCTCAACATCCCAAATCATAAGGGAAATGCAACTCTAAACCACAACAAAGCACCACTTTACATCCATTAAGATGTTATAAAAACAAAGAAAATAGCAAATATTTAAGAGGATATAAATGGAAACATGTTCATTGTTAGGAATGTAAGATGGTACAGACTACAGAATGCAGCTTCTCAAAAAATTAAAAATAGTATTAATATATGATCTAGCAATTTTCATTTTTATATATACTTTAAAGAATTAAAAGCAGTATCTTGAAGAAATATTTATACATCTATGTTCACATAGCAACATTGTTTATAATAGCCACAAAGTAGAAGCAACCCAAATGGTCACTGAGTGCTGAATAAATAAGTAAATGTGATATATAATCTGCAATGGCTATTATTCAGCCTCTAAAAGGAAAAAATTCTGACATATCCTAGACGAACCTTAAGAAACCTAAGTGAAATAAGCCAGTCACAAAAAACAAGCAAGTACTACTTATACAAAATACCTAGAGTTGTTAAATTCATAGGGATAGAAAGTAGAATGGTAGTTGCCAGGGGCGGTGGAAGGGAGAAACAGGCAATTACTATTTAATGATGTTAGCTTTGCAAATCAAAAAGCATTTTAAGTGAGTTTGATCCTGGTACCAAAAAAAAAAAAACCCCAAAAAAACAAACAAACAAAAAGCATTCTAGAGTTTGGGTGCACTACTGAACTTTACACTTAAAAGATTAATCCTAAAATGTATACCAAAGATGATAAATTTTGTTATACTGTAGTTTAACATAACTAAAAACCTAGAAAGTAAAAAGAAGAGATAATATCCAGATTTTTCTCTGTGATTCAGATTTATAAACTCTTCCTCAATTTTCTTCCACTTTCAGTCTGAGGTTCTTACTCATTCTTTTTGTAAAGAGAAATTATGTTTTTAAAAATGTTTACTCTAGATAATAAAACTGAACAAAAGGAATAAAACTTACCCCCCATCTTTAAGAGATATTTGTACACTGATGTTCAGAGCAGCATTATTCATAAGAACTAAAATATGGAAGCAATGCAAGTGACTGTGAGCAGACAGATAAGCAAAATGTCATTGTACATACAGTGGAATATTACGAAGGACACCATGACATACGCTACAAATTGGATGAAGCTTGAGGATATTATGCTGAGAAAGCAATCACAAGACAAATACTGTATGATTCCACTTTTATAAGATACTTAGAGTAATAAAAATCTTAGAGACAGACAGTATAATGGTGGTTGCCAAAGGTGACAGGAAGGGAGAAATGGAGAATTATTGTTTAATGGATATAAGGTTTCACTTACAAGATGAAAAGAGTTAATGGGGATGAATAGTGATAATAGTTGTACACATTACAAATGTATTTAATACCATAGAACTGTACACTTACAATGGTTAAGATAGTAAATCTTATGTGTATTTTTAATTAATTAATTTTGGATTTTTTAGAGAGAGGGTCTCACTATATAGTTCAGGCTGGCCTTGAACTCACTTTGTAGCCCAGGCTGGCCGCGAACTCACAGTGATCTTCCTGCCTCTGCCTTCAAAGTGCTGGAATTACAGATGTGTGCCGCCACACGTGGCACAATAAAAACACTGGGAATGATCAAATTATGTTATATGCATTTATGAAAACATCACAACTATTCTGTGTAATTAATATGCACTGATGAGAAAATTTGGAAAATATACTTACCCCTAGTCCTACTATCATAGATAACTTTTCATATTTTGGGGTCTAATTTTTTGGGATTTTCTAGGTATGTGATTTATTTACAGACAGGTGTGTGTGGGGGTGGGTGGGTGTCTGTGTATAAAATTATATACACCAATTGGAAACATGACCTTTTGTTACTCAACAATATATTGTGATCATCTTTTCATATATTAGCTGTCTTCTAGCCCTTTATTTTAAATGGACATAAAGCATTTCATTGTGTGGCTGTATTATCATTTACTCAACTAACTCCCTATTATTGATGTAAATTGTTTCCAATGTTTTATTCCAATAAGAAATACTGCAAATAATAATTCTTACTGCTAAATTCTTAACATATATCACTATGATAAATATTTTAGAAGGAAATACTGAGCACATACATTTTTCTTTTTTACTATTATATGTTTGTGATGCATGATAATTACATTCATCTTGGGAAGCTGGTACACATATATATCAAATCTTAATCACTTTTACTTTCCCTTCCAATCCCTGCCCTCCCTCCTCCCCCTCCCTCAGATCTCTTTCTCATATCTACAACGTCTAGCCCCCTGTTTCTTATCATCTCTCTTTTATTTTGCTCTTTAAATTATTTATATTTGGGTTTCTCACAAGCAAAACTATGCAATATTTAACCTTCTTTATCTGATTTATTTCACTTTGCATTGTGGTCTCAAGATCAATCCATTTTCCTATCAGTGGCTCAAATTTATCCTTCTTCATGGCTGAACAGTACTCTGTTTTATATATATTACATTTTCTTTATCCATTCATCTGTTGATGGGCACATAGGCTGCTTCCATAATTTAGCTATTAGGAATTGTGCTGCTAAAATCATAGGTATGCATGTATGATTGTAATATGATGTCTGTAACTCTTTTGAGAAGATATGCAGAAGAGGTATAATTGGGTCAAATGGAATTTCTATTATTAGCTTTTTGAGAAATCTCCATACTGATTTGCATAGGCTGTACTAGTGTACATTCCCACTAACAATGCAGAAAGGTTTTTTTTTTCCCACAACCTCACCAGTATTTGTTGTTTTTTGAGTTCTTGATGATAGGCATTCTTCTGGAGCAAGATGGAATCTTAGTATTGTTTTTTTCATTTCTCTAATGGCCAAAGATGTTGAACATTTGTTCTTGTACTTACTGGCCATTTATACTTCTTTTTTGAGAAGTGTCTATTCATTTTAATTGCCCATTTTATTGGGTCTTTTATTTGGGGGGGGTCTAATCTTTTGAATTCTCTATATATTCTAGACATTAGTCCTCTATTCAAGGATAGGCTGGCAAAACTCTTTCTCACTTTGTAGGCTGTCTCTTTACTCTGTTGGTCATTTCCTTTGCTGTGCAGAAGCCTTTTATTTAGATATACTCCCATGTGTTGATTTTTGGTGTTATTTCTTATGCAAGAGTTCTAGTAAGAAAGTCTTTGTCTGTGTCTTTGAGAGTTTCACCTATTTTATCTTCTAGCAGATTTAGTGTTTCTGTTTTAATATCTAGGTCTTTGATCCATTTTGATTTGATTTTAGTACAGGGTGAGAGATACAGGTTTAGGTTAATTCATTGGCACATGGATAACTGGCTTTCCCAGCACATTTTAAAATTTGTCAAAGAGGGTTATATTTTCTTTATCCTGTTTTTGTCCCTTGTCAAAAATCAGATGGCTGAAGGTACCTGGCATTGTTTCTTCAACCTCTACTCTATTCCATTGGTCAACATGTCCATTTCTGTGCCAGTAACATGCGTTTATTACTGTAGCTTTGCAGTATAACTTGAGGTCCAGGATTATAATGCTTTCTGCTTTGCTCTTTGTGCTCAAGATTATCTTGGCTATTCTGGATTTCTTCTGCTTCCACATAAATTTTAGGAGTGCTTTTCTATTTTTGTGAAGAATTGTTGGTATTTTAATCCAAATTTCATAAAATTTATATCATTTTTGCTAATGTGGCCATTTTAACAATGTTGATTCTGCCTAATCAAGATCAAGAGATTGCTATAGAGGTCTTTCACTTCCTTGGTTAGGTTAATTCCTAGGTATTTAATGTTTTTGAAGTTCATGAATGGGATTGTTTTTCTGGTTTCTTTTAAGGTGGGTTTAATGTTAGTGTACAAGTACACTATTGATTTTTGTGAGTTCTGTATACTGCCACTTTGCTGAATTTATTAGTTTTAGAAGTCTTCTGGTGGAATTTTTTTGGGTATTATATTTAAAAGATCATATTATCTGCAAATAAGGATAGTTTGATTTCTTTCATTCCTATTCATATCCCTTTTATATCTTTTTCAAGCTGGACTGCTCTAGCTAAAGTTTCAAGTATTAATTTGAATAGGAGTGGTAAGAATGGTCATCTTTGTCTTGTTCCTGATTTTAGAGGGAATGCCTTCAATTTTCCCCCATTTAGTATGATGTTGCAGGTGGCTTTGTCATAAGCGGCTTTTATTAGTTTGAGGTAAGAGTCTTCTGTTCCTATTTCCATCAGGGTTTTTAAAAATCATGAATGGATGTTGGATTTTGTTAATGTTGGATTTTGTTTCTATATCTACTGAGGTGATAATGTGATTTTTTTTCCTTGCTTCTGCTTATGTGACATATTACATTTATTAACTTATGTAGCTTGACTCATCCCGCCTCCCTGGGACAAAGCCAACTCGGTCATGATGTATAATCTTTTTAATGATTTGTTGCAGTCTGTTTACAAGTATCTCATTGAGGAATTTTGCATCTGTGTTCCTTAAGGAAATTGACCTGTAGTTTTCTTTTCTTGTTGACTCGTCTAGGTTTGGCATCAGGGTAATGCTAGCTTCAAAGAATGAATTTGGCAGTGCTCCTTCCCTTTCAGTTTCATGGAGGAGTTTGAGAAGTATTGATGTTAGTTCTTTCTTGAAGTTCTGGTAAAATTCTGCAGTGAATCCATTGGGTCCTGGACTTCTCTTGTTTGTCAGGGTTTTTATTTGCTGCCTCTATTTCATTGCAAGAACATGCATTTTTTTTTTATGAGAACATGCATTTTTAAGGACTTTTGATTTGCTTCACCAAATTACCCTCTAGTGTGCACTCTAGGAAGCATATATGAGAGTGCTTATTTCCTACAAGATGCCTCTCTTTTTACCAGGCTTGTGTGTATCCTTTTAGAAAGATCTAATATAAAATCAATGGAATGTTTTCATACAAAAGTTATTCTTGATTTTTTTTACAAAAAGATTTAAAATAAGAACAATTCCTGTAAATCATGGGTTCTTTAGTGGATGTAATAAAAACTCCACAATATTCCAAAAACGTGTCTATTTTGAATACAGGATAGACTACTAATCATTCTTTTTTCTCCTTGATATAATTTTACTCTGAGAAAATTCACTTTGCAAACATTTAGTTCCTTTAGCTCCACCTAAGAGCCCAGGAATCAAGCCTGCCATCCAAATTTTTTCTGCTTAGGTTGTGACCAAGGATATGTTTATAATGGAGATAGATGCCATCTGCTACTACCGAATGGAAAACGCCCCTCTTCTCCTAAGCAGTCTCGCCCATGTGTCCAAAGCTGTCCAATTTCTTGTCCAAACCACCATGAAGCGTCTCTTAGCTCATCGATCTCTTACAGAAATTCTTCTAGAGAGGAAGACCATTGCCCAAGATGTAAAGGTAATTGGATAAATCTAATGTTGAATATTTTGAAATATCTCTTTTACTCATTTATTCACCAGAGAGTTATTAAATACTCCACGTACTGTTCAAGATGCCATCTGTTAGGGAGCTTATAGCTAATTAGAAGTTGCCAAATTGACCCTGAGTCAATTAGGACCACTCATCTGGTGCACAGAGTTTGCTCCCAGCCCTGCCCCAGTGATTGGTGGTCCACCCCTGTGATGTAAGTTCATTATAAAATACAGTGTTGGAAGTAGCTGCTGGTGAAGTGGTGGGGCTGTTAGGGATGGATGGGAGTGTTGGTGGTATGTGAAGATGATAAGCACAGTTCCTAGGAGCTTGCAGTCCAGCTGGGGGAACAAGCATAGTATGCGCAAAGTTAAGTAATGGTAAATTCAAACAAAGCTTTCTGAAGTAATAGTTACAATGTCACAACCCTTTCATGATTAATTATCCAATCATTTGTCCAATTTAATTGATTTGGAATTAGAGGAGGAGAGAAGAGTAAAACCTGTCTCCCAAGCAGCCTCATGTGGTCCACAGGCAACAAGATCAACCCTCTTATCCATGGCCAGGAGGTATTAAGAAGACAGGCTGAGACCAGAGCAGGACTCCAGGCAGCTGGCCAGTCAAGTGGCAATACCAGTGACTGACCCTACCATTAAAGCCATGGGGAACACAAGCCCAGAGTGAATTATGAGGTTGTAAGTTAGATAGAGGTGGAAGGAAGACTTTAAATAGATGGACCCTAAGAATCAAAGGCATTCATGATTGTTCTTCATGGAACCTGAGCAATTACTAATGTGAAAAAATGCAGTGGGCAAATATTATAAAACTAGAATTAGCATCTTGAAAAGGGGAAAAATTTGACAAGACAAGCTAGAAAGAGAAAAAGAAGAAGAGGGACACATGGAAGTCGCTGTTCTGTCATTTAAAAGACATTCAACATGCTCAACTGTCCCCTGCAACCTCTTCCTTGTTTGTCCTTTTCCTCTGAAGGATAAAGTCCAGACTCTTGTCATTCAAGCTCGTCTTTGTTACACTAAATTATAACTTATGTATTTACATGTGTGTCTCCACAGATTACAATTAACTCCATAATGGCAGGTGCCATATTTTATTCATTTCTTTGTCCTTAGCCCCTGGCATGGGACTTGTCAAACAGCAGACAGTTGTTTGGACAAATGAAGAAATGACCCAACTGTTGTTGCTGCCATCTTTCCTTCACTGAATCCAATACTCCAACCTACTTAGTATAAGCCCAGCATTCAGCACTTCCATGCTTCCAGGCCTCCTCTTGAGCTGTTGTTTCTACAGGAAATCCTTCCTTTTTTCCCACAGAAAATGCCGCCTCCTCTGTGATATATTTATCAAAACTCCTTACTCTCACCTGACCATCAAATTAGTCAGTTTTCTCAGACTCTCTACACACTAAGAAATCATCAGAAAGTAAAGAGGAAAGAGGAAACACAGCATGGAATGCGCCAGGCCCAGCTGGCCCCTCCTCTCCTGAACTCACAGTTCACCCCATTTCCAACTTTAGCCTCAGAGGACAGAAAGGACTGGGAAGCAGGAGAATTGATGCCACCAGGAATAAGGAACAGAAAGCACCCTGTAAATGACAGCCATTTGGCAAGGAGGGTAGAGATGCTTATTCTCTAATAAGTGCATTTTAAAGCATATTAACAAATACATCATCTATATTATTAGTTTCCTATTGCTTCTATAATAAATTTCCACAAACTTGGTGTCTTAAAACAATATGAGCTTATTTTCTTATAGTATTAAAAACCAGAGTCCAAATCTGTCTCAGTGGGCCTACATCAAGGAGTCAGGAGGCTTGATAGCTTCTGAGGGTTGTGGGAAACAAATCTGTTTCCTTGCCTTTTCAGCATCTCGTAGCTGCCTGCATTCCTCAGCCCTTCCTCCCCTTCTTCCATCTTCAAAGTGCACCTCTGCAGGCTCTGCCTCCATCTTCACACCCCATCTCCCTCTGCCTCTCTTTTACAATGCCACTTGTGATTGTATTTAGGGCCCACCCAGAACAAGCTCAAGATTCTTTGACTTAATCACAACTGCAAAATCCTACTTGAGGTAGCATTCTCAAGACCTAGTGATTAGGACATGGACATTGTTGGGGGCCACTTGCAGCCTATCACATCTCTAGGTCCACAGATATTATGGAATGGCACTGTATAAGTTAACTCTGTGGCAGGCATCGTGTAGTTGAACAAAGCAAAGCAGGTAAGTACTGTGCTCTGAAAGGAAATAGTCTTTTTACATAATGGTCACTGGTGTACAGGCGTGCTCTACTGCCACCTGGAGGTGCCTACTGACATCTGAGCTCTTTTTTCCACAGGTCGCCTTGGATTCAGTGACCTGCATTTGGGGAATCAAAGTGGAGAGAACAGAAATGTGGGTAGGAAAATAACCGGGAAGAATAATATAATAAAGGGAACTATTTTTGTTTCATTTAAAATATTTCATTTTTGAAAAATTATTTTGAGTCCTGAGGCAACATTAGTATAAATTTTTAAAAAAGAAAGAGAAAACCATCTAATATTTCACTGCCAAAATATGTAATACACTGTCACATATGGGCAGATTACTCTCATGTTTTTTCACCATGCATAAAAAATGTCAAACCTTGTTTTAAAAGATAAAATCACATAAACTTGCTGGGCATGGTGGTGCACACCTGTAATCCCAGCACTTGGGAGGCTGAGACAGGAGGATCACCACGAGTTCAAGGCCAGCCTGGGCTACACAGTGAGTTCAAGGCCAGCCTCAAGTACACAGCAAGATCCTGGCTCAAAAAAAAATATCTCACATAAAACTTACTACACATACAGCTTTAAAGCACACAGCTCAGTGGTTTTAGTATATTACCAAAGTACAACCACCACTACCATCTAATTTCAGAATGTTTCCATCATCCTAAAAGGAACTCCCCTCTCCCTCTCACTTCTTAGCCCCTGGTAACCACTAATTTAGTTTCTGTTTCAATGCATCTGCCTATTCTGGACATTTCACATGAATGGAATCATTCAATATGAAGTCTTTTTGTCTGGCTTCTTTTCACTTAGCATAATGTTTTCAAGGTTCATGTAGGGTGTAGCATGTGTCAGTACTTTATCCCTTTTTATAGTTAAGTAATATTACATTGTATGCCTGTAAAAATTGTATTTATCCACTCATTGATTAGCAACTTTTTTGGCTGTTATGGATATTACAATAACATTCTTTTGTTTGAACATGTTCACATACATAGGAGCATATAAAGGAGTGAAATAACTGGATTGTATGGTAACTAACTTTTTTGAAGAACTATTAAACTCTTCCATATATGCATTTTTGACAGCTATACTCAGGGTAATAAGACACTTTTTTATGTAATCCACTAAGGTTTTTATTTGGTCAGTTTTACTCTTCAAAAATCAATCCTTGTCTTTTATAAACTTAGATAAATTCCTCTTTGTTATTAATTGTATGGTTCTCCAAGGCTGGTTTTCATTGTCAAATTTAAGAGCTAGAGGTTAAATTAAATCTTAAGTAGGAAAAATGATCACATATGAACACAAAATGTGCTGTTCATGAGAACCCTACAGCCCCCTGCAGCATCAGGGGTGATCCTTGTCTGCATTTGAGGTTCTGCCCTCAGACATGCTCTCCTCTGCCTACCTTCTACCTCAGGACTCTAGGAACAGCACATTCTATTAAATCAAAAATGGACTACTCAAGGGACAGCAGTAGAGAAGGTAGAGAGTGTTTAAGAAAGCCCTTGCTGCTAAGTTCACTGCTGCACCCACATACCTGCCTTCTTTCTTTTCCAGTAAAGATGTGAGGTTGCCTGCCGGGCTTCAGCACTCGCTAGCTGTGGAAGCTGAAGCACAAAGACAGGCCAGAGTGCGGGTGAGCCAACACTGAGCCCACTGAGCCTGCTCTTGGACGAGCACCAGGGAGCCCAAGGAAGGCCTGCTTGTGGAGAACATTGCTCCTCTGCTTCCTTATCTTTGACTCATCCAGGCACTGGGTGGAATCTGGCTTGCGCCCCACCACTCTATTAGAATTGCTCTTACAAGGTGTCCTCGCCTCCAGACCAACGCCATGCCTCTTCCTCTGTAAGGCTGCTGCTAACAGTGTCCACCTCCTTCCTGAGTCTTGCCTTCACCCCCTCTCCTCCCTCATTCTTGCACTGACATCTTTCCCTGGGTAATCTCAGTCACCTGTCACCTCTAGGTTAATCACCTGGAGGTCTCAGGCCTGTGTCCCTAGGTCTGCACAAGCCTTGAAGGAACACCCATGAACAGTGCTCCATTCTCTCAATGCCAGGGCCTGAGAAATCTGTGCAACTGATAGCTTCTACTCAGGCAGCCAGGGAGCAGCAAAAATCCGTCTGGCAGCAGCTTCCAAGGAGTCTGGAGGTCGGGGAGCAGTGGGAAGAGGAAAGTGAGGAAAGAAAAGAGGAACAGAAAGTAGGTGAAGAGAAAACCCTAACTACAAAAGAACAGCAATAGCTTTGGAGAAAGAAGAGGAGAAAGGTGGTCCTCTCTGACTACTTTCTGGAGGCATCTGGGTGGAAAGCTTGGTGACTTCTCTTCTGAAATGCTTACCATTTGTCTTGACCAAGCTGGAGTTCACCCTTTCATAATTCCATGCCTTTACCTGGAATGCTGGCCAACTTTTCCTCTGTATGGCAAAATCCTACTAATTTTTCAAGCCCACTAGATATTAATAGCTTTCTTAATGCTTCATTTACACTTGTCATGGCCCATAGTAGATTCCACCTTGAATGCTGATTAATGGTTTATTCTGTTTCCCTTACCTCAAGAGCCTTTAGAACAAAGGCTGAATCTGTTCACCGGTGCCCACAGTACCTGCCAGCAGATGCACAGTGCTTGTTTGCTGAGGCACATGAATAGAGAGCCATTAAAATCCTTGTGGAATGGAGAAACACAATTGCTTTGCTTTTCTTCGCATCTGTTTTCTAGATGATAGCTGCAGAAGGGGAGAAGGCTGCCTCCGAGTCCCTGAGGATGGCAGCTGAGATTCTGTCAGGAACCCCGGCCGCCGTTCAGCTTCGATACCTCCACACTCTTCAGTCTTTGTCCACAGAGAAACCTTCCACTGTAGTTTTACCTTTGCCATTTGATCTGCTAAATTTCCTGCCCACTCCCAGCAATCGAACTCAAGGAAGCATCCCCCTCCCAAATTCTGCCAAACCTGTTGAGCCACTAAATCCCAAAAAGAAAGACTCTCCCATGTTATAGGGTAGATGGGCAAAGCATAATATAACTGTAAAGGGGATCTGCATCAGACACTGTCCTTTGGTTGCCAAATGGAATGTCCTTACATCAAAATACAGACACAGAAGATGGTGAAATGCTGTAAGGATATAGAAGGCACCTCACAAGTTTAGGTGGATCATCTAATCAGAGTAATTAAGGGAAAGAGCTTTTGTATACATTCTAATTTGGGAAAAATTTGATTCTAAACATAGTTCAAATGTCCCTTTTACTGTATAGTCTGGCCCTTTTGGCAAGGTTTCTGCAGCCCCCATATCCCTTTCTCTGAGCCCCTATCGTTGTGCTTATCACACTCGATTGTAAACCTGTACCTAAGATTCAGGTTTCTCTCCAACTACACTCGGTTCTTCAAAGGAACTGCTCACGCACGGCCCCCAGTACACTTAATCCTTTAGCTCCACCCCAGTTCCTCACATCTAACCCTGGTAGCTGCACAGTAGTGACACCTCAGTGTTCCTGAGTATATGCAAGAAGAGATGTGCTTGTGTTGGACATAAAATTTACCCCTAATTAAAAGAATTTAAAAGGAATTCTTGGTATGGAGATTCCTTTTTTCAATAAGGAAATTAATAAAAGGATAAAAACCATATATATATATTCTTTAAAACTGAGGAAGAATTACTAGAATTAGGGGGCTGAGAGTAATGCATTTCAGTATAGAATTTACCAGATTGCTTATTTCTTGAAACAGTACAATCTATACATGCCCTGCAGTAGTTTTTTCAGTTAGCTCCTGACTACTACTACAGAGTTCTTTAGCAGTAGTTCTTTTGGGACTATGAGCATTCCCATGCCCTCTAAAATTCTGGCTTGTGTGTCAGTGCATTTGCTCGGTAGAGGATGAGAATTAAGTAGAGGTTGTAGAAGTAAAATCCTTTAAAAAGGGGTCATCAATTGTACTTCCAGCTTTTTCTGAGCTTTGAGAAGCATTACAGCATTATAGCTGAGAGCTATACTATAAAGATAAGACAGTTTCCAAGACAAACTGCTACTTTTTGGGAAGCAAGATGTCGATGTCCCCACTCCCAATCCCAACCAGATATCTAACAGACTGGAGTGGACAAGGTAACAATGGTAATCCATCTTCCATTTTCCACTCTGGTCATCCACATAGTCAAACCTAGGCAAGAAAAAGGAGAGACTGCCATCTGGCTGTAACTATTGCCCACTGTGAGGAGAAACTCTTCTATCCTGCTCTTGCTGTCCTATGATCCTGAGTATGTGTACATTTTGAAACAAATGGTTGTAATGTCATGGTGGGAATGAAATATAGAAGACTACATGTGCAAGTTCTGAAGTGTTCCAATTTAAATAAGGCTGGGGATGGTATTAGCAAACAACAACAACAACAACAGAAAACCAGACTTGAGGATCAGTGGAACAGAATAGAAGATGCAGAAGCAACTCCAAGCATACTCATCTACCTTATCTTTGATAAAGGGGTCAAACCCCTTCACTGGAAGAAAGATAGCTTCTTTAATAAATGGTGCTGGGAGAACTGGTTTTGCCATATGCCGAAGATTAAAACTAGACCCATATCTCTCACCATGCACTAAACTAAACTTGAAATGGATCAAAGATCTAAATATTAAAACAGAAACACCAGGGCCAGAGATTTAGCTCAGTGGTTCTGTGGCCTGCCTCACAAGCACAAGGACCCGAGTTTGATCCCTGGTACCAACAAAAACAAACACCAGACCTGCTTGAAGATGGAATAGGTAAAACTCTTGAAGACATGGGTACAGGCAAAGTCTTTACGAACAAAAGCCCAATTAATTGCACAGGAAATATTATAAAGAATCAATAAATAGGATCACATCAAATTAAAGATCTTTTGTACAGTAAAAGAAATTATTAACAGAGTGAAGCTATAACCCACACAATGGTAAAAAAATTACCAGCTACTCCTCAGCCACAGGACTATATCTAGAATATATAAAGAACTTAAAAAGTTAGACCTCCCAAATTTAAAGACCCAATCCAAAAATGGGCATTTGAAATCAATAGACACTTCACAGATGAAGAAATACAAACAACAAATAAATATATGAAAAGAATGTTCAACATCACTAATCATTTGAGAAATGCAAATAAATCAAAACAACACTGAGATTCTATCTCATTCCAGAAAGAATGGCTATCATCAAGAAATCAATCAATAACAAATGCTGGGGGGCTGTGGGGAAAAAGGAACCCTTCTCCATTGTTGGTGGTAGTGTAAGTTGGTACAACCAATATGGACATCAGTATGGAGATTCCTCAAGAAAACAAAACTAGAAGTTTCATTTGACCCAGCTATGTAACTTCCCCAAAGAGCTAAAAGCTTCATACTACACTGAGACATGCACACCCATGTTTATAGTAGCACAATTTATAATAGCTAAATCTTGAAAATAGCCCACATGCCCATCAACAGATGAATGGATAAAGAAAATGTGGCATTTTATATAATGGAATACTACCCTGCCATAAGGAAGGATAAACTTGAGACATTTTTAGGTAAATGGATGCATCTCCAGACGAGAATCTCAAGTGAAATAAATCAGACATACAAGTTTAAATACCATATTGTTTCTTTTGTGTGAGAAACCCAGAATGTAAATAAGGATCAAAATAGAGAATGGATATGGGGAAGTAAGAAGAATGTATTCAAATGTGAAGGGGAACTGGGGAGTGGGGAGGAGAAAGGGAAGGAAGGGAATGGGGATATTTAAAAAAAGAGCTATGGGAGGAAAAAATAGACTTTTTAAATGGGGAAAGGAAGAAGGGTTGAAGGGAGGAGGGGAATGGGAAAAAAAGAATTAAGATATATACAAATTCCCCATGATGGATGTGATCATTATGGCAAACATGTACTAATAAAAAATAAAGATTAAAATAAATAAATAAGCCTCGGGACTCTGGAATTAGGCAGTTTCTGAGGCTGAAAGAGTAAAGGCCTAAAATCCCAGGAGATAAATCCAAAGAAATACTAAACACGTGAAGCCAAAACCATTGTAGCATTCTCATCGTGAGTGTTTGGAGTCACACAGATAAAATGCAAGTGAGTCGGCAGCCCAGTGTAGGAAGCAGCCCTTGGTGAGTGACTGCCAGCATATCCATTTGTCATTTATAACTTATTTTGGAGGTTAGTCCATGTCTAGTGTCTACATGGATATAGGGTCATTATCACAACAGACATATAAGATAATAAAAGCAAAAAAATGAGATTCTGGGTGAATTTTCAGCAATGCAATCCCCATGAAGGAAGCCATATGAGCCAACACCAAGTACCTCTTTGCCTTTGCTAAACAGTCTAGACAGGAGCCTGATGAGCTGGGGACTTGGACACCAATCTGCTCTGTAACTTCAGAAAGTCTTCTCACCATCAGGGCCTCAGTTTCATTCTTCTGAGAAATGGGGAGAACAATATCATCCTCACCTATTTGTGGGGTAATTGTGAAGATCAGAGAAATCATAAGAAGTCAGAAGAAATCTAAAACTGCTGCAGAAACCTAAGGGTATTATCTAGATCCTCCCCCTTCTAAATTGAAAAAATTAAGCTTTTTATTTGCCAGTCTTCTCTGCAGGGTTCAGTCTTTAAAAAGCATTATTTTCTTGACAGAAACCAACACTTCACAGATCTCTCAGGAAACCAAAGAGGCTAGCAAAGTTTTCCATAAACTGTTTTTAATCTGGAAATAAATTAATACACTGAGTCCCTATGGCCACTGCTGTGCTTTTTGAGAGAAAATCCTCTTGGCTTGTATACCATGGCTTTTCTGGCAGCTGTTGCAACAGGAATCCTCCATGAGGCATGTTGTCATCTGCACAGCTCAGCGGTGTCTGGTGTGCTCAGGGGACGCAGCCACTGTGAAACCCTGTGCTCTATGGATGCTACTTGGGCTTGGGCTTATTACTGGATTTAGTCTGGGTTTTGGATTTAACATTGCGTGGTACCTCTAAAAAGACAAAAACAATTAGAGTATTATAATAATGATATATTTACTGAAAGTTTAAAAAGCTGTTTTAAAATTCCATTTTGCCTGAGTAATACCCAAGCTGTAAACAAGGTGTGTGCTAAAATTTTGACTCTAAAGTGGTTATTGGGATTGAGAGTACATTTTCCAAAGTTTAAGTAAGGTCAGTTACTTGCTTGAGTTCTAGGTGATGGGGCCGGGGACTATGGCCAAGGAGCAAAGAAGACAAGGAAGAGTATTTCCTCCTTATTCTTGTTCATGTCTCAAGCTTGGTGGAAAAAAATTCAAACAGTGTTTCTAATGTTCCTTTGTACTGCATCCCTCTGCTGTCTCCACCCTCTCCAGTCTCCTGAGTGCAGATCCTACACAAGCCTCACCCCTGGAATGGGGCTGGAGGCCTCTGGCTATCAAGCCTGCTCTTCCTTGACACCCAGCTTCCCAATTTGAATCCTTCAGACTGGCTGCTGCCATCTCCATCCCACACTTGCTCACACCCTTGTATTGATTTTAGTGTATCCTCCCCACTTCCAATTCCGAGCCCCTTTGAGATCAAAGGCTGAGTCATATTTCTCTCTGTAAACTCCCCTTTCAATTCGTTTCTTTACTCATAGCTCAGAGCACGGTGATTTGCTAATTATTAAAAATATGAACATCAAAAATAAATATGTTCCCCTACTCTGTCCAGGTCTCCTCTTTACCCAGCATCCATAGGCTCCTTACTTAAGAAGTTATAATTTTCCATTCCTTCATGGCACAACTCTCAGGAAAACAGTGATTTCACTGCACTGCATTAACTCTCACACATACAGCAATGTCAGATTGCTCCAGAGTATCTGCATTTCTTCAAGGGCTACCTGCTGACTCTAAGAAATCTCTACTTTAGGGACATTCTGGTCACCCACAGGGCAAGTGGCTGCCTTGATGAGGAGCCAGATTTCCCAAGTTTGCGAAGCTGCTCATCCTCCACTTCAGTGTCTGGAAGGTGGGAGAATGGGAATGTCTGCACAGGTTGGGGACTAACTAGACATAGTTACCTCTACCTCAAATCATTGAAACTTCTCAATTCTGGACTTAATCTAATCCTAAAGCTCTTTATGAAAATGGGCACAATTAAAGTTTCTGATTCCATATTGAGGTAACCTCTCCAGATTAACATAGACTTTTTGTATGGTCTGTATATTTATCTTTCTAAATCTGGAAAAGCTCTAGTTTTTAAATTATTGGGATAACACTGCATCCAGGATTTAAGAGGATGAAATTTTTTAAAGATTCATAAAAAATTATTTCACATATATCCAAAACCTAAAATTAAAGGATTGTCACCCTTGGAATAAATAACATTTTCACCAGTTCATAGTTGATAGCAGTAAAGAAAATGAGCTCAAACTCTTCTTCCAAACAGCACTGATGCCCCTGTACCTAGGGTCAGGGGCTGTGAGGGCTGGCTGAGTTCATTGCTCCTGCTGGAGGCAAGATGGGTGAGAGGAAAACAGTAGTTACAGTATTTCCCCATATTATCCTTGTGCCAGGAATGGTCCTGGGAACAGACACAGGTTGGAGATGAAAGCAAAACTCAAAAAATTATCTCCAACATTGAAGATATTGAGGATTGCTTGTAAGCAGATTAAAGAACTAATTAGAGCTAAAAAAAATTAAGACATAGAGGAGACTTTTTAAATTAAGGAGATTTTTTTAATCATAGAAAATCCAGCAAATATGAAAGCAAAATAAAGATAAAATTCTCCATAAATCTCCATTACCCAGAGACAATTTCTGTAAATATTTGATCATATTTCTTTCTGGTCATTGTGTCATGTCCTATATCCTGTGTTTCATATTTTCCCATAAAATTTCCCATGTTACTACAAACTCCTCATAAATGCACTTTCATAGTTGCATAATAGTCAAATATACTGATTATAGCATAATTTATTTAGTCTTTCTTCCATGATTGGAAAGGTAGGCAGGCTGCTTCTATCTTTCTTATGATATATAATAATGTACTAAATGATTTTGCTTTGTTTTGCAGTGCTAAAGATCAACCCAGAGCCTCATTTGTGCTAGGCAAACACACTATCACTGAGCTACACACTCAACCTCTGGATTCTCTCTTACTTTCTCCCCCTTTTCTCTTCTCTTTCTCCTCTCCCTTCTCCCCTCCCCCCTCCCCCTCTCTCCCTCCCCCTCTCTCCCTTTCATGCTGGGTTTTGTTATGTTGCCCAGGCTGGCATGCAATGTGAGCTTAAGGGATCCTCCTGCTAGGACTGTAGGCACGGGCCACCACACTCAGCTATTTCTCTAGACTAGATTCTCATGAGTGAAATTATTAGGTAGAAGTATATACATGTTTTAAAGGAATAGCCACATATACCATTGAATTATGTTCTAAAGGTTTATGTTTTTCTTCCTATAGGTATTATCTGTAAAACTATGTTGCAACTTCTGATCAGCATTGTTTTCTTTCAGTTAAAAAAAACTACCAGTATTTTAAATAAAAATTGTAGTGTGTTAGTTTATTTGTCCACAAGTGTTAGTTTCTTGGTTTTGTGTGTGTGTGAGTTGTCTGGATCAAATAGTTAAAAGTATGTGCATGCCTATGAGAAGTACAGACAGTGGATCAGCACTAAAGATATTGATGTTTTTTTAAATACTTGTGACCAACTCAAGGGTTATTTTTAAATATAACCCAAATAAAGCAAAATAAGAAAGCAATTTTTACCTTTCTTTTGAGATTGTATGATACTTTCTACTGGCCTGACTTCTTCTTCCTCCTCCTCTTTTTCTTCTTCTTCTTCCTCTACTTTTTCTTCCTCATTTTCCTCTCCTTTTTCCAACTCTTGTCTTGGCTTAATGACTATTTCCTCCAGTTCCTTCTCCAGGTCTTTATTTCTTATGAGAATATAGTGAAACTTTTCATTTACATCCTCAAACCTCTCCTCCGCCCTTCTGGCTCTGCTTTCAACCTCCCTGATGTGAGCAAAGTCCAGAGAAACACAACAAAATGGAAGGGGGTAAACAAGTACCTTTGATATAGAAATTCATTATGTTAAAAAAAAAAAAGGTAGTAGGAGAGCAGATAAGTGTGTCTTCAAGAACTAATTGAAGAAGCAAGAGCATCAAAGATTAACAAAGAATTAAAGGCCTAGAAATTACTATGAACCCTAATGTTAGAGTTGCAATCATGCCATGATTTAAGAATACAACATATTTATAATTTATCAGTGAATTTTGACTTTTGGGTATTTGAAATTCTCCATCAAGTCAGGAACCCTCTTTCAAGAGTTAACTTTGGCTTCATGTGATCCAATAAACTAAATCCAATAGTATTCCTTATTTTTTAGTGCTTCTAAAGCCAGATTTTACAATCAAAACAACCAGCTTGAGATATTCACCTAATTTATCAGAGCATATTATATATCTATATGCCCATGTTTTTTTCTTGAGGTCCTCAGCCATCTTAAGTGTACTGCCCTTCCTACTCTTTGGGTTATGAAACATTCTTTCTTAAGCACACTAATTTCTCCCAGCTCTATTTTTTTCTTTAAGTCATCTGTTAGAAAACATACTAAATTGAATCACTCGTAATTCTTCCCCTCCTCTCCCCTCCCCTCTCCCACCCCCCTCTCACTTTGACTTCCATCCACACTGTGGATAAGGAAGGATGTTCCTATCAGAGCCATAAAATTCACTGCCTCAAGATTGGGAGATATCCAACCTAGTGAGAATAAAGCAAGCAGGACAGACAAAGAAAGGTAAGCAAAGAAGTGTGGATTTCTCAGCCGGACCTGCTGACCAGCAGTCTTCATCCTCTTATCTTTGTGACACTATACTTACATTAACTTCACTTGCATGTGTTCAATTACAGCCATTGCTTCAAGATATTTTGGGGCCAATGTACCTTGGTTAGCTGATTCTCTCTGACAAATGAAATATGTAATATAAATGAATTGACAGTCCCAACAGTTAATTCTTTACTTCCTCAGGATGTTCAAGAACAAGCCTTCCGTAATATTCTCTTTCTACTGTTTATAGCATACCTTTAATGCCAAAAGTAGTGGGGATTGCCTGTAGCCAAACAGCTTAAGCAACTTCCAAATTATTCATACTACATATGGACATGAATTTCATTAGCATTGTAAAAAGGAGGAAGGGAAAAGAAGGACAAAAAGAAGCAAAGGGAAATATTTAAAAAATTAAAAAGGCAAACATGTTTCTCTAATAAATTCATGATCAAAGAAATTAACCATCTTATTACTAATAATTACTTCACTAAGCATATGACATTGCAAAGTCAAATAAGATTTTTTAATTCCTTAACGAACTTCATAAAAATCAGTTAAAGGTGTAAATCTCACCAGGCAGAGAAAAATTTGAAAAATAAAATCACTTCTTTATTTTGAATCTAGATATATTATTGAAATCAAAATTAGAGGAAGGTGGTGAAAATATTAGAATAAAAAATATAAGCATACTTTCAAGTGAATAATTCTTTCCTGAGAAGTATGTACTTATAAAAATCCCATTTAGGGCCAGGGATTTAGCTCAGTGGTTCCAGTGCCGGCCTCACAAGCGCCAAGGTCTTGAGTTCGATCCCCGGTACCAAAAAAAAAAAAGTCCCATTTATCTGTCTTCCCAATCAGTGGCAGGTAAACCCCACATCACAGATGGAAAGAAATGTTTGAGGGTAGGTGTTATAGTTTAGATCTAAAATGTCCCCCCAAAATCTCATCTGTTTGGATTGGATCATGGGGGAGCTATACTCATCAGAAGATTTATCTATTAATGAATTCATAGCTCAGTGTACTGTTACAAGGTGGGGCCTGGTCAGAGGTGGGTCACTGGAGGCCTAACCTGGGTGTATTCTTATTTAT